ATGTGGACACCATTAATTTTTAAATTGTATGAATCATATTATTTTAACTTTTGATTAACTTTTACAAATTAACAAAAAAAAAAAAACTTATAATATTTCAAGATAAGTGATAATCTAAACAAGGATTAATATAAAATTCTTATAGAGAAAAAGACATAAATTCATAACATTAGTCCACATACAATGAAAATACAAATAAAAAAGAAAACAGTTTTGTATCTCAAAATACAAGCATTACGATTGTCTTAATACTAAAAACTCAAATACAAACATCCTAATAATACCTTCTACCACCAAATCTCTCCCTCTCCATCTCTGACCTTATCTTGTCCCTTTCCAACTCTTGCTGTAGCCAAGCAAGTTTTAAGTTAACTGATTTTATACTCCTAATCATACTTCTATATTCTCGTTTCACAAACAAACGAGTACCTAACATAAAAAGCTCATTACCATCTTCAACTTCAGGTAAAGTTAACAACATCTCCATACATTCTTCAGTGGTATCAAGATATGTTTCATAATTTTTCTTTGATGAATCACTCAAAGTAGTTGTGGTATAACTTTCAACTGCATCACAAAGACGATTCAATTGTTTCTGCATGTATGCTGCACCTCCTACTTTCACTTTCTTCCCTTTGCCGGTAAGTGAAGGACCAATTGTGTTTTTCTTCCTTTTTTCACTGCTTCCACCAGTTTGTGTTGGGATGACATTCATCTCATCAGAATCACCACTTCCTTCTTCCAAATCAACAGCATCTTCAAACCCCACATTTTGTTGTACTGGAGGAATAGGCCCAGCAGCTGGAGTCCATGCAGTTTCACCGGTGACCACTATTTTGTCAAACATTTGCTGCAACTCCACTGTGTTTTCTAATCCATGATGCTCAAATTTACCATATTCTTTATTCTCCTATAATAAATATATAACATATCATAAGTTTAAAGTTAAAATTCAAAGTCACATGCAAAAAACTAAAAATCATTAACAATAAAAGACTACAACTAACCGCTTTCAATTCAGCCCATCGTTGAGGAGTAGCATCAATTGTGCCTTTTTCATGATTCCACCCGAGTCTTGTTTCTTGCTTTAAGAGTTGATTCCACAAAACCCAATCACTTTTTAATGTATCCCACCAATTTCTTAGTTATTTATCAAGATAATGCTTGTTTGTTCTTTCATTAAATTTTTTTTCCACATTTGTCCACCCTAATCTATTAAAAGTACTATTAGGACGATTACCGGAAATAACCTCTTCCACACATATCTCGCAGAAAATTTTTGTTGTAAATGCATCCCACACTGCCTTTGATCTTTTTTCAGCCATCTTATATATTGAAAAAAATTTTGCCTTAAAACAAGATCTACAAACACATAAAAACAAATGTTGAATAATGGAAGTATAGACACACATAATAACACCAAAAACAGAGCTAAAACTAGGACCCCTCATCTCCTACCACAGTAAAAATATGTGTCCCTCAACTTTTGCTTTTCACTTTAGATTTCCCTCTACTGATTTTCTTCATTTTCTCAAAAGCCATACAGACGCAATAAATTGTTTCAATCTTTGAAACCCAATTTTTAGTTTGAACCCTTAATAGCATTCTCAACCGCAAATTAAAACTGGATGAACAACTCAAATTCAAAAATTATGACCATGGTTTATGAATTCATGCATAAATCTTCAATTACAAAACAAAGGGAAATCAATCAACACAAAACAAAGGATCAAATCATAGTCATAGAAATCTCAAACGCCAAAGAAACTTAAAATCAAGACTATAAAAAAGAAAAAAAATTAAATGCAAGTGTTGTTTATGTACCTGGAAATTGAAGACAATGGAATGGCACAATGCTTCAAGAATCCAAAGTCCCGTGACCGGAACACCCTCCGCTTCACTCCCCCCTGGTATTCACCGACCCATGCCCTGCTTCGTTTGGCTTCACCGACCCATGCCCTGCTTCACTTGGCTTCACCGACCCATGCCCTGCTTTGTCGCGTCGCCCAGATCTGCAAGAAGAGAAGGAACAACAAGGGATTACAAATTACAGCTTTCACCAAAACTCACACTACCAACCAACCATCATCATTCATCACCACCAAATTGGTAGTAGAAACACCAAAAAAGGAAAAAAAATCAGAGAAAAGGAAGGACACTCACAGGAGGAGAAATGGGATTTTGGTGGGGATTTTCCGGTGAGGGGAAATGGGCTTTTCTGCTTTGAAGTAGTTAGGGAGAAAGACAGCCGGTGACTGAGATGCTTTGGTATTTCCGATTTGCTTTGGAAGAAGGTGGGCAAGAAGGGAGGTCGGCTGCTTCAGAGACAAAGAAAGAAAGGAAGACAGGGGAAATGGGTTTTCTACTTGGAAGTAGTTAGGGAGAAAGAAGGCCGGTGGGTGAAAGGCTTTTATGTTTCCGATCTGCTTTGGAAGAAGGTGGGCAAGAAGGAGGAAGAACAGGGCACCGTCGGCTACTTCAAAGAACAAGAAAGGAAGAAACACGGGAAACAAAGAGGAGGTTATAAAATGGCCCTTTATATAGTGGTTTTTTGTAAATAAAAAGAAATGTGAGGACAAAATGGGGATGCCAGGTCAATTTCATTAAACGTTTAGGCGAGAAGCTCCGGCGAAAGTAAGAATTGAGAGCTTCCGGCCTTTGCAAAGGAAAAGTGAGAAGCTGAGCTTCTCAAAAGTTGCAGCCACTTTAGGAAGCTACGCTGTTTGGTGTGGCTTGTGCTTTTAGAGCCAAAAAGCTCTTCCTACAATCCACACCAAACAGGCCCTCACTTATCTATTCGTGTCTTATTCTTTGTTTTTTCTAACTTTAATAAATATAATTTGATTTTTTTAATTTTTTAATTTTTAAAAAAATAATTTTAAATAAAAATTAAAATTTTTCTTTTCCTTGTATTGTTTTGTAATTTCATTAAATGAAAAAATTTTATAATGTGATTTTTATATTATGTTAAATTTTCATATGAAATTAATATATTAAAAGTCAATCATTTTTTTTTCTAATGTCTCTATTTATCTTTTCCTTTAACTTAAACTTTCCAACTCTTATTATTAATAGTTGAGATACCAGAAGAAGAGTATAAAGGGAAATTTATATTGGTGACAACTAACTTTAGTTTTTTTTAGTTGACAGTGCACAATAAAAAAATTTTTATTAGTACTCATGAGCGGGTAGATGAGTTGGTAGGGAACTTTTCTAACTTAACCAGA